GACCGCTTGCTTTGGATATTCAGGCCTTGGCCAATCGATTTGTGAGGCTGGACATTTCTGAGCCTAGCAGGGTGTTAGCTTGCACGGTCGCTCGTTCTTCATTATTGGAGCGTATCCGTGATCGGCAGTTTGATGATCCCCATTTGTGTGTCTTGAGAGACACGGTGCAGCGTGGAGGTGCCACGAAGGTGACCTTAGATGATGATGGTGTTTTGAGATTGCAGGGGCGAGTTTGTGTGCCCAATGTCGATGGGCTTCGAGAGTTGATCTTAGCGGAGGCCCATAGTTCCCGGTATTCTATTCACCCGGGCGCCGCGAAGATGTACCAGGACTTGCGGCAGCATTATTGGTGGCGTAGGATGAAGAAGGATATTGTTGCGTATGTGGCTCGATGTTTGAACTGTCAGCAGGTTAAGTATGAACATCAGAGGCCTGGTAGTTTGTTTCAGAGGATTGAGCTTCCCGAGTGGAAGTGGGAGAGGATTACCATGGATTTCGTTACCGGACTTCCGTTGACTCGGAAGAAGTTCGATGCGATATGGGTTATTGTTGATAGGCTGACCAAGTCAGCGCATTTCATTCCTGTGGCAGTCTCCTATTCATCCGAGAGGTTAGCTGAGATTTATATTCGGGAGATTGTTCGCCTTCATGGTGTGCCAGTATCTATCATTTCGGATCGGGGTACGCAGTTTACCTCGCATTTCTGGAGAGCGGTTCAGCGAGAGTTGGGCACACGGGTCGAGTTGAGCACAGCGTTCCATCCTCAGACGGACGGTCAGTCCGAGCGGACTATTCAGATTTTGGAGGATATGCTCCGAGCCTCTGCCATTGATTTTGGAGGCTCGTGGGACCAGTTTTTGCCTTTAGCAGTGTTCGCCTGCAACAACAGCTACCAGTCCAGCATCCAGATGGCTCCATATGAGGCGTTGTATGGTAGGCGATGTCGGTCTCCGGTTGGATGGTTCGAGCCGGGAGAGGCTCGGCTGTTGGGTACAGACTTAGTTCAGGAGGCCTTAGATAAGGTCAAGATCATTCAGGAGAGGCTTCGTTAAGCTCAGTCTAGGCAGAAGAGTTATGCAGACCGTAAGGTCCGAGATGTAGCTTTCATGGTTGGCGAGCGGGTATTGCTCCGAGTGTCGCCTATGAAGGGCGTGATGAGGTTCGGAAAGAAGGGCAAGCTTAGCCATAGGTACATTGGTTCGTTTGAGATTCTTGACCGAGTGGGAGAGGTGGCTTATAGACTTGCATTGCCACCTAGCTAATCAGCCGTGCATCCAGTTTTCCATGTATCTATGCTTCGGAGGTATCACGGCGATCCTACTCATGTGTTAGACTTCAGTACTGTTCAGTTGGACAAGGATCTGTCTTATGAGGAAGAGCCGGTAGCTATTCTAGACCGGTAGGTTCGTCAGTTGAGGTCCAAGAGTTTTCCTTCTGTTTGTGTTCAGTGGAGAGGTCAGCCTCCTGAGGCATCGACCTGGGAGTCCGAGTCTGATATGCGGAGCCGTTATCCCCATCTTTTTCCTGACTCAGGTACTTCTTTCTTTTGTCCGTTCGAGGACGAACGGTTGTTTTAGAGGTGGAGAATGTGACGACCCAAAGGGGTCATCACCTGTATTCCTACTCACTCTGTACTTCTGAGGCCGTGAAAACCTCGCCTGGGGGTTGCCCCGATTTGTGTGCGCAGTCCGGGCGCGTAGCCGGAAAGTTTAAATATGAATTTGTGAGAAAGATAATAAATTTTTTGATGTCCAATCGATTAAGTTTGACTTCGGTGCCAATGTTTGCGAACACAAACGGACCCGGACTCGTTGAATTCGACAGTATCCCGGAGGCGTCCCGTTAGGGGAAATTTTGGGACTTGGGTGCTGTGCCCGGAATCAAATTACGAGGTGCCAAGTCCGAGAAACGAACATTGTTATGTCGAATTGTTTTCTGAAAAAATTAAAGAATTGGAAAGTGTTATTGTTTAGAAGACTGCTGTTAGGGCTCGGTATTTTTGGTTTCCGACGCCCGGCACAAGTCTTAAATATGGTTAAGCAATTGCTCGTGAAGTTTGGTTAGATTTGACGTGCATTTGACGTATGTTATTTGAGCCTAAGTAACAAGTAAAATTTGATGTCTTCATGGAAATTGGAAGGAAATATGGGTCTCTAGGCCTATTCGATGTTGTTTTCGGCGATTTTGATCCCACAGATGAGTTCGTTAGGATGTTTTTGAGTTATGGGTATGGTTGGTTTGGCCCCGAGGCACTGGGTGAGTTTTTGAGTGGGTCCCGGAGGTACTAGACTTAAAAGTATCAGAAATTGCAGGGTCCAGGTGTTTGCATGCCCCCAGCGCGGCCGCGGTCATTTTCGCGCGGTTCCGCCTGGAAGCCGCAGCGGCCGCGGTTGCATTCTTTAGCCGCGTCCGCATCGTGCTAGGTTCAGAGGCCAGTGAAATTCCAGTTCGACCAGCGCAGCCGCAGTGCCATATCAGCGCGGTCCGCAGCTGGAAGCATTCAGAGAGGGGTCTTGGGTCCATTCAAACCAGCGCGGCGATGCACCAACATGTGGTCCGCGCTGGGTAGTTCAGAAGTCGTTTTCCCTCCCATTTCCTCGGCGCAAAGCCGCGGTGGCATTTTTGTGCTGGTCCGCGTCCGGGTCTCAGTAAAGTATATAAAGTCGGGAATTTTCAATCACTTTTTCACTTTTCAAAACCCAAAACATATAGAGGCGATTTTCAAACGATTCTTGTTCTTCAAAACGCATTGTAAGTGATTTTTCTAACTTATTTCTTTACTCCTTAAATTTTAAACATAATTCAACTTCAAAACAAAGATTTTAATGGGGGGAATTTGGGAATTTAGGTAGAACTAGGTTCCAAATTTGGGGTTTGTACACTCAATTTGAGTCCGATTCCAAATAACTCACATATCTCGAGTTCATGGGGGGGTATGGGTATCGGGGATTTTGGTTCGAACCTCTGGTATTTGACCACGTTGGCCGGGGGAATTTGAATTTTGAGTAAAACTTTGGGAAATTCATTTTCATGGATTAAATGATTCGATTTAGCATGTTGTTGATACATTCAAGTAATTTGTGAACTAGATTCGAGCGGTTTGGTGGTGAATTCGAATGGTTAAAGCGATACTAGAGGCTTGAGTTGAGTTTGGAGCATTCGAGGTAAGTGTTTGATCTAACTTTAGCCTTGAGGGGAATAGGATTAGAGTATTATTTTCTAATTGCTAAATGTTGAGTACGGTGTATAGGCATGGTGACGCGTTATCTATACACGCGTGTCTAGCCTGACCGTGGGTCTTTTTATTGACGCTTAATTGGGATTCTGTAGTGACTCTTCCTTGTTAATGATGGTTTCTATATGATATGAAGAGAAATGAGAAGAGAAATATGATGTGTTAAACTCTGGAGCGTTGGCTCGATTTTCGACTTGATCAAAAAAGTAGGAAATGAATCGTAAAAGAAAGAGATGTGGAATTATTCCCTTGCCCGGGACGTTGTAAGTTATTGTTGTTTGCTCCCTTTCCGGGATTTACAACTGCTTAGTCGTATTCTCTCCTTGTCGGGGAAACCACTTATATATTATAGAAATGGAACGTGTGGCACGCCCGACCACCTTATATATTATGAAATGGGATCTGTGCACCCGACCACTTATATATTATGAAATGGATCGTTGTGACGCCGACCACTTATATTTGCTGAAATGGGATCGTGTGGCACGCCGACCACCTAGTTATATATTATGAAATGGGATCGTGTGGCACGCCGACCACTTATATAGATTATGAGATCTGATGTAGTTTGTGTTTACTTCTAATAAGTTGTTTTCATCTGTATTTCCCCTAAGCATGTCCCCTCCCACCTTAATTGGTATTTTCTGCTGTTATTTCGTTGCACCTGTATATAAATATATATCTGCACAGGTTGTTTTTGGTAGGTCCTGTCTAGCCTCGTCACAACTTCGCCGGGGTTAGGCCAGGCACTTACCAGCACATGGGGTCGGTTGTGCTGATGCAACACTCTGTGCATCTTTTTGCACAGATCCAGGAGCAGCTTTTGGGCCTCAACAGTAGGATTTGATCGGGAGCTGACTTCAGTCCAGGGACTTTCGAGGTAGCCTAGCTGACGTCCGCAGGCCGGAGTCCCTTCCATGTTATTAGTTTGTTTTCCTTGTACCGAGACAAACATTGATGTACTTCTATTCTGACTTGTTTTTAGCACTCTTTAGTAGTTCGTGAGTTAGTGACACCGGATCTGGGTAGAGTTGTATTTAAGCTTCCGCATTTGGTTTTCAGTTATCTATGTTTTTAAGACTTCCGCTTTCATTTTAAATGGCTCATTTTATTTATATCGTTGTGATGTTATCAGAAAATGTTTTAATACTTGGCTTGCCTAGCTCCGACAGTAGGCGCCATCACGACTCCCGAAGGTGGGAAATTCCGGGTCGTGACACACGATCTTGACTTAATTCCTTGGACTTTTACTCAGACTTCAAAGCTCCAAATCACTTGAATTCATTCCATAACATCTACATAGCTCGAAATCATTCCTACAAGGCATAAAACACACAATTAGTGCAAAACACTAGCGATTAAAGCTCACACTCAACTAAAGTGCAATAAATTGAAATGTAATAATTGAATAAAACATGAGATTGTAGCCTACCATCAGGATGCTTTTTTATTTGCTTAACCAGGTAAAATTTTTCCACTAGCATATGCTATTGTCGATGCTATAAATGATGCTTCCTGAGAATAGTTTTTTGAAATGTTTAGATAGACTTTTGGGGCAAGGGAAAGGATGTGCATCATATCCGATCGTCATGCAAGCATATTAGGGGGGGTGATTTGATTGTGTATCCGGAGGTATATCACTGTGTATGCATTTCCATCTTTGGAATAACATAAAGAAGCAGTTCAAGAAGAACCATGACCGGCTGAGGGAAGTGCAATGGCCAGAGCATAATAAATTAAAAAATTTAATCGCCTCATGCAAGATATGGACAACATTGATAAGAGGGTAAGGAGTTACCTATTCCAAGTTGGTTATGAAAAGTGGTCTATAGTGCATTCCACTGTTAATAGATCCATGGTGATGACTTCAAATATTGCCGAGTCACTCAATGCAAGAAACGGGGAGGCAAGAGAGCTACCAATCATGAGTTTGCTAGATTACATGATGAATTTGGTTATGGAGTGGAATAATGCAAATAGAATGACTGCGATGAGTATATTTACCGGCCTAGGAAAAATATATAACGAAGCACTGAAGGAAAATAGCAGTTTGTCGCAGAATATGACGGTAAATATTCTTTTATCATGTCTTACTTCATACGCCTGAATAACATACTTTGACAAAAATGCATTATTTTTTGTCATATCCCTGTTTTACTAATGATATCTATTTAAATTTAGGTGATGCCTTCAACCGATTATGTATATGCTGTAATGGATGTTGAACAAAGGCGGAACATAGTCTGCATGCAAAAAGGGAATGCTCGTGCAAACAATTCCAAGTATATGAGATTCCTTGCCCACATGCTATGGCAGTATTGGACTACACACACATAGAAGCACCCAAATATTGTTCTGCCTATTACACAAGGAATACTTCAAGAAGACATTTGAAGTGCATGTTAATCCACTTCCAGATGAAACTACATGGGACCTTCCAACAGAGGTGTTAGATAATGTGGTCCTACCACCGATAGTGAAGGGCAAAGCAGGAAGACCGATGGAGTCGCGACGCAAGGGACTTTATGAATATTTGTATACTGAAACAGTTACTTGTGAACTGTGTGAAAAACAAGAACACAACAGAAGAACATGCAGGAATGTCAAGACAACTAGTAGATGTTGCTACAATGATTTAGTATTTTGTAACTGTTTTCCTTGTGAATGTTACAATTAGAATATTGGAAAGATAATGAGATTTGCAGTCAGATTCTCTCTGATGTATGAATAAAGATACTACTTTTTGTCGTAATGAAAGTATTGGTAGAAGTTTTATTCCAAATACTATTATGGATGTCACTATATAGATGTCCATATATAAATATATACAAAAGAAGACTGTCACTATAAACTATACAAAATAAACTGTCACTATACAATTTATATACAAGACTCACTATACAAAAAATATACAAAATAGAATTTGTATATTTATACAAACAAAAAAAAGACTGTCACTATTGTATATACAATTTGCATACAATAGACTATTATGGATGCCACCATATAGATGTCAATATACAAAATAGATGTCAATATACAAAATATATACAAAAAGGTTGTCACTATACAAAATAGGTTGTCACTATACAATTTATATACAATAGAATGTCACTATAAAAAAAATATATAAAATAAACTGTGACTATACAAAAAATATACAAAGTAGATGTCACTATACAAAAAAATATACAAAATAGAATTTGTATATTTATACAAAAAAAATCGTCACTATTGTATATATAATTTACATACAATAGACTATGACTATAGAAAAAATATACAAAATAGATGTCACTATACAAAATATATACAAAAACAACTATGACTATACAAAACAGATGTCACTATAAAAATATATACAAAAAAGACTGTTACTATACAAAAACTATACAAAATAGACTCTCGCTATATAGTTTAGCATCCCCCAAAACTTCATTCATAAAACTTCCTATAAAAACTTAGCAACACCAGCTAAATTTGCAAAACGTGTCGAAACAGATTAAAACTGTATACATTACAAAACCAAAAGTGTAGAAAAGTCAAAACTACACAAAATCTGAAACTTTCAAAATTTCACTATTAACTCAAAAACAAACAAGTTGAAATTAAAAGTAATATTCAACATTAGCATTTCAAACATCTTTCCCTTCAACTTGCCCTTTTTCTTGATATCCTTCAAAGTTTCGTCATCACCAACAGCATGCGTCTTGCCCTTTTTCTTGTTATCCTTCAAAGCCTTGTCATCACTAACGGCATGCGACTTGCCCTTTTTCTTGTTATCCTTTTCTGTCAGATCCTTCAATCTACCAGTAGACACGTCATCACTAACAGCATGTGCTCTTTATTTCTTTACTCCATAATCTCATAGCAATATACCATATCGGTTCCGTATCCCATCAATATCAATAGCTTTAGGAATATTGTTGCCTTGAATGATGTATTCAGCAAATGCAGCAACATAAATACCACAGTCACTACATACAAGGTCACGCATAAATGCTAAATAAGTTAGTATGATATCGAAATAGGAATTCATGTACAAAAATAAATTAAGAATCAGAAATATTCAATAATAATTTACCTGTTATCTTGCGTTGGCAGCCCATCAACGACATGAATCTCAAAATGATCAGTGGTAGGAATTCCCATATGATTCTCCTTTATGTTCCCAAAACCAATACGATGAAGGAAATATGGGAGCAACACTGAGTATAGCTCAATTGAACTCTGAACTGTATTATTTTATCGCGCGCCACTCATGGACGTATGCATAAATGTGCAGTTGAATGACAGTCTCGCTAATATCCAATGCCACTTATCAGACAGATTTATAGGGAAAAGAACTTCATCAAGAGTACACCAAGGAATATTACATCTTAAAAAATACCCAAGTATATACTCAATAGTTGGATTTATTTTAGTAATCAAATTCATGTCTCTGTTTTCTCCAGAAACTCCTTGTACAAATTTGAAATCAAGCAGTTAAACCAACAGTCAGTAGTTGTAAATCTTACTGGAACATCAACACCGTAATTACTTTTCTTT